GGTGAATGGCCACAGTGTAATGCACAATAAGAAGACACAGACTCCATGCATGCCTGTACCTAGACTCAGAGCTGGGGAGACCCTGGTTCCCTCCCAAGGCTGTGGAGATGACTCAGGGCTAACTTTTCTCATTAACTGCTAATAAAAGCAGAGGAAATTTCTTTTCCCCATATAGATACTATAATTTAACATATTCTTTATCTTTATTCAAGCTTTCTGACTGTTCTTCTAATCCAGCTCCTGTTAAACCTGTAGATACATGAGGAAGATAAGCTGAACACACTCCGCCTCCTAGCCATTTCCCTTAGGACTCGGTGTTATTTTTTTCTAACTTGGAAATATGCATAAATATAACTCATTATTTAATCTGCCACAGAAAGACTATCATTGATTTACACATATTCTAATGCGATGCTCTAGAATCTTATAAAAATTGTTATAAAAAATCCCCAGCCATGTGAAAAGCCTTGGCATATTTTATAAAAATCACTATTGAAGATATTATCCATTCTATGTCTCCCAGCTATAAGAAGATCTGTGCCAAATATTTCTTTTGAGAACTGAACATTAGAGAAATTATGTGTTTGGTTTCTGAACTAATTATTTATTCTTTTTTTTATCAGGCGATGGAAACCTAAGTTCCATTTTGGCAGAGCCCTAGAATGAGGAGTTCACCTTTGTAAAGCCCAGTGGAGTGCATATAGCAGGGACTCTAAATATTTTCTGAATGAATTGATTTGATCATATTTTCTCTTTTTACACTGGTTACAAGGAAGCTTAGGACTAAATGCAGTAACTATAATAGTCCATGTTGCTGATATATTTATTTTCCTCTACAGTTCTGCCTTATGCTTTCACTTTCTGTTTAAACGATCTCATTGAATATATTTTAATTATAAGCCGCTACAAATCCTTTCGGAAACTGGTGCAAAATGTCATAAAAGAAAACTCATTTTATTTTCTAGATGATAAAAGACAAAATCGTTTAAATTCATGGTTTGTTTTGTTTTTCGTGTGTGTGTTTATGTGTATGTGTATATTTTTTACATCTAACAATTTATAAAATTAAGTACATTTTCACTGGAAAAATACGCAGCTACTTTTCCTGAAGCATGATCAGACTTTTAGGCAGAAAAGCAATACAATCAGAAAATACACACACCAGATGAAGAAAAACAAAATGGTTGAACTTCATTTTTTCATTCTAAGACATGAGGGGAAATTTTTTAAAAAAGAAAATGTTGCAGATTTCAAGAGGTATAAAACATTTGCTATTTATAAAATATGCTATTTATAAAAACTTCCAGAAGGAAAGTTTAATATTAGCATTTTGAAACAATGGAAATCCCTGAAAGCTTCAGTTCTGTGGTTTTATAAAATGTTGCTCTCTGAGCCTTTTTGCAAGTAAAGAGAAAGACCTAAATGTAAGCCCAAGTCTTAGACTGATGAAGGGAGAATGACATTAAGTAGCCTGTTTAGCTTATCAGACAGAGATCCTGTCACTCTGCCTTGAAACAGAGATCCAAAGCTCTTGACTCAGGACTCACTACTGCCTTGGGTCTCATTAAAGAAGAGAGGACAGAATAGAGACCCAAGTCAAGCACAACCAGAAAGTAATGCTGGCTGGGATGATCTGGCAAATTCTTTGGCTTCCTAGAGTCCGTTTCAGGTCTATCTTGGACTTCATAGCTCTGCACAAGTTCGGTCACCCTGTAGTTGACCTCCTCTTAGCCTTGTTGGGGGCATGGGTCTCTTTGTATTTGTTTTTTTGTGAATTGGCCCTTGCCCGTCCTTACTGCAGTCTCTATTTTGTAAATGATATTAAATATGAGACACAGCATATTTATTTTTAGATTTAGGTTCTCTTTATATTATTTTTCATTTTTGTAATCAGTAATGTGTGGTTTTTGTACTAACATCGTTAAGGTAGGCTTAAACAGGAAAAATAGGGGTGTTGCTAAAGGTTTTTAACCTCTAGTATTAACAACATCTAAGAAAAAAACGAGTGTGTTAAGATCTGTACTTCCCTCCAGTGGGAGCGTCCATCGATGTTTGTCTAACAAGGGAAGTGACTGTGACATTAAATGAACTTGTGAGCAGATAGCAAACTTCTAGGAATGTGAGTCACACAGTTTTTGTTTTCCCTCCTTGGAGAGTTTTGAAAACGTGAAACAAAAATTAAGAGGACAGTGACATACTGAGTCTCCATTTGGTTCCTTTTATTTTTCCAAAGTTTGTATCCCAAAATTTATGAAACTGCAAATACTATTGAAAGCCTGGAAATGTTGAGGGATGTGGCTATTATTTATATATTGTCTAATGAGGGGTATACATTGTATTTTTAATAAGATTACCGTTGAAGATAAAGACATCTAAATTAACATCCATGGGAGTTTTAAAGTATGTAATCAATGCTTAATTAGAAATTGCAGGCTTCAATTGACATTATCTTTGTTCCTGTCTTAAATTTGGATTTCAACAAACATGTATTTTTAAACTTTACTTTTATCTTAAAAGTTTTTCTATGGAATTTACTAGATAAATCTGATGTCAAGCTAGCAGACCTTGGACAACACTGAGGGTCTGAACAGTTTTCATTCGCACGGATATAAAAACACATTCTCTTTCCTTCTTATGTTCAATAAAGGGGTAAGATAGGAAATAATGCCAACTAAAAGCATTGACATTGAAGGTCAGAAATTATCTCTTTGAAATCAAATTCAAATATGAATTCTTTGGAACAAAAATTTAACTCCCAAACTCTTTGAAAGTGGGCAATCTGTAAATAGGTAATATGAATGACAATGACAGAGTGGTAAACTCCAATATGATATGTAATGTACAGTTTTATAAACTCACATATATTTGCATATTGATGCTAATTAACTTGAAAAGCTTTTTGTTTCAGGGAGAAGCTTGATTTTCCTATGAGTTCAATGACGAATATTTCAATAGAGAAGTTATTCATATAATGTTACATTTTTGAAGATTTTTTTCCAAGTGAATTAGTTTGCAAAACAAGTATAAAGGTATTTTAAGCACAGTTAGTTACTCTTTATATGAAAGGGAAATCCTTATGAAATCTTCAAACACTTTAGGCTACAGTAAAATTAAATATGCCAGGTAGTGGCTTACAGTACCTTCAAGATATAGCTATTGTTTATAACAAAATATAGAATTTAAATTTGATTTCATTTAACATTTAAAATGTATATTATTAGTTTCAGACCTTGATTTTTCATTATCTTTTATCACTTTAATACTTTCCTGTGGATCAGCATATTTCAAAGTGCATTCTTGGGAATCCTAGTACTGCAAAAGTGCTGCAAAGGCATGTGTTATTTATCAAATAAGTTTGATAAAAGCTACATACTATAAGGAATCATTCAAAATTATTTTAGGTGTGATAATAACGTAATTTTATTTAAAAAGGGTTGATCTTTTAGAGTTGCAGGCTAAAGTATTTATGAATAAAATGATGCAATTTCTGGGATTTCTTTCCACATACTTTGAAAATGCTGAAAGAGGATGCAGTTGGAGATGGGGCTAGATTAGTCATGGGTTGATGTTACTGCATTTGAGTGATGAATACATGGGGTTCATTATACTAACCAGCCTACATCTGTGTGTATTTTGTATCTATTAGAACAAAAATTAAAAAAATAAATAAATAAAAGATGCGTATCTCTTAAAGATTTTACAGTACACACCAGAGCTATGAGGTGTTCTGGGTAAGAAAGTCATTTGTTTATCTGGGCTTCTCCCAGACTTATTGATCATGGACTGTTCTTTTCAAGGAACACCTGCTAATAGCTCTCCTGGACATTTGGGAACAGCTATACAATAGTAGAACTAATGTTTTTCCATGTATCATTGTCCATGATACTTCCAGGCTTCTAGCACATGAATAGTTTTATTTACATGTTGAAAACCATTAAGATAAAAATGAAAAATTAAAAAAAAATTTTTTGTTATTTCTAAATTCTAACAGGTGTGAGGTATCCATAGTATAACATCTGATTAACTTTTTTCAATTTCATTGAGAGTAATTTTGTATATAAATATGTCAGAAATACTGTTAAAATACAATTTCAGAAAAAAATGAACGATAATACATATTTTGAAAGATAAGAGCATTTCTTGATGGACTATTGGCCATAAATTTAGTTAGAGCTGTTTAATAGTTGAGTGAAAAGCTCTTTAAAACACAAAACTCCAAATATCATTATCCACATCAATAATTTTACTTTATATTTTTAATCCTAAGTTTTTATAAAATTTAATAATTTGTTAAAATCCTATTTGCATACCCATAAATTATTTCTCACCCTGGAAAAATTATATTAGATAGAAATAATTCTCAAAATAATATTCTATAATAGCTAAATAAAATTTATATTTTATATAAATGCTTGATAATTCTGCATGTCAGAAGCTACATTGTACTTTTAAAATAATAATTTACTTAAATATAAATTATATTTATTAAAATAATAATAAGTTAATATTTTAAAAGTAAGTTACAGATAGCTTTTTAACTTTGCATTTAAAGAGAGATAGCCTGTATTATTTATAGCTGTCCTTTCTAGTTATTTTAGAGACTAGCAAAATTTTTTATCGTTGACTTTAACGAAAATTCAAACAAGAATGTTTGCATTCATTACAATATACTGCCAAAAACTACATTAATTTCCACTGATGCCCATTAATTTGATAAATATTTTGTCATTTGTACCATTTGCACTGTCAAAACAAGTTAGTTATATCTTACTGACATTTTTGACAATTGCTTTAACTCTGGCAAAAAAAAAAAGGCATTTTATTTGCTTCAAAAAAATTCACTATTGTCTATTGAAAGTTTGAACCAAGCAAGAGAAGATTAGTACATGTCAGAAGTCTTGCAAGATTCAAATTAGGATCAATGGTAAGAAAAAAATGATTCCCCCAGGACTCTTTTATAGAAGTGCTCATATTCTATTGTAGAAAATATTATAATATACCTGCATAATCCGTTCTTGCATAATGCCCATCTTCAGATTTAGTAGTTGTAGTTGTGTTATCTGTGTTAAAAAAAATTAACAACGAAGATTGATTAATTGCTTCCTAAACATCAAATGTCAAATTTATATTATTCTTCTAATAGTACCTTCACTGTGATTAAGGAAATTTTATAACTATAGTTCCAAGCTACCTTTATGCAAAGACATATTTACATCAATTTGCTTGAGAGCGAATAATAAAATGGTATCAGCTTTCTAGAGTTTGGGGCAAAGAGAAGGTTCACAATTATAACTGAGATAAGGTGGGTAAAGGAATAACAAGTCAAAACCCAAGAAAATGTTTGTTTCTGAATAAGAAACAAAATAAAACATTCTCGTATATCCTGCTTTAAAAAATGTACTTGAGGGACGCCTGGGTGGCTCAGTTGGTTAAGCAACTGCCTTCGGCTCAGGTCATGATCCTAGAGTGCCGGGATCGAGTCCACATCGGGCTCCCTGCTCGGCAGGGAGTCTGCTTCTCCCTCTGACCCTCCCCCCTCTCATGCTCTCTCTCTCTCATTCTCTCTCTCAAATAAATAAATAAAAATATTTAAAAAAAATGTACTTGAAATATTTCTATTGATTCAATACATAAAAATGGTGTCATTTGTTTTTAATTTCAAGGTTTTCTAATAAATCCTCAGATTCTTTGCTAAAGACGATTTTGACTTTTTTTTTTTTTCTCTGTGCAAGGAGAATGTCTGCTGAATATTGGCTTCTGTGTTTACGGCATTGTGAAGATACAGTCCCGTTATATAGAAAAAGATATAGACTGTTGCTCATAGGCTCTCAAACTCCTATAATCACCATAAATGCTACAGTAGACTTTAGTATCCATTATAAATCAGAACTGTCTTCCAGAAAGGAAATAGCTTGCCTAATAAGGAGTTATCTTCACTTTTCATTTCTACACTAAGACTAGAAACATTCTTTGAAATGAATTTTGGTATAAACATTACCTTGACATCGACCCAACGACATGACTTCAATTTTCTCCTGTTTCTGACATGATGCTTCTTTGATTTGACATGCATTATCATAAGATTTCCCATCAGAAGCACAGAGGGGATTGAAGTTGGTTTGGGAACAGTCGATGTTGCACACACACCTAAAGGAAGAGAGAAATAAAAATGGGTGAAGGGGTTTAATTGTATGGTGATGGGTAGTAACGAGACTTATGATGGTGATCACTTTGAAGTGCATACAAATATCAATTTATAATGTCATGTGCCTGAAACTTGTATAATGTCATATACCAATTTACCTCAATCAAAAAAAAAGTAACATTAGTAGTGTTGCTATCACATTATACATTAAACACAGAGTGGAAGAATTGCTAGATTGGCAACATACAAGTCCACAAAACTGAATTGTATCCTTCCAGGGAAGTTCCTTCATTTTCCTACCAGAGATGAAAAGAAGCACAGAACTAATTGAAAATAATTCAAAAGATTGATAAATGGATAAAAAAAAATAAAAAGGGGAAACGCAGAAAATAATCATCAGTAAATCTCTGCCATTGGAACTTTTGAAACATGTACATAAACTTCCATGCTGATGTTGGCAGAATTTGAATAGGCTGAGGTAGCCATGAAAGTCTGCTTTACAATTTCTTCAAATGAGATCTTACTGTGTTACTTTATTCTCAGGATATTTGAATGGTGAGAGCGTGAGGAAAATGATTCAGAGGACATTTGCAAGAAAGTAAGCCAGGAGATTATTTGGAGTGTAATCAGGAGTTATATTTCTTCAGCTACATGAAGATGCACAAGACATGTGCTAAGCGGGAATCTTTGGTGGTCCTTAACTTTTGTTGGGGGGCAGCGCAAAACCCTTTGAGAATCAAATGAAAGGTATGGCTCTCTCTTCAGAAATACTCATACTCACACAAAACAACTTTTTTGCATAAAATTGCAGAGTATTTGTGGGCCGCTTGATGCCTGTCCCATGGATCCCTTTCCCAGATATACGCTATTTTTTCTAATTCTAGTTTTAAGTAATAAATACAAGTTGATTACCACTCATGATTTTAATACTTTTCTATAATATACATACAAATTTGAATTAATGAGAATTAGGTTGCCTGAATTAGAAGAATGAGATATTTTCAAGCAAACTTTATATGACTTTTCCTATGTTATCATTCTCTGTAGACAAAGTAGACTGTTTCACTCAGAATATTTTTATATGTGTGTAAATATGTTATTGCCTTAGAATATAAACTCATATTTTAGATTTCTATTAATTAATTTTCTATTAATATTTACATTATTTTTCTAAATGGATTATATGCTTCCCAAGGTGGTGAAGCACACATTTTACTTCTGTAGATCTTACTTAGAGCTGGGCATATAATATAATGATTACAATAACAACTAGCTTACTACATGCTGGGTTCTTAACATGCATTGCTTTATTTAATCTTTACAACAGCCATTTTATAGACCAACGATAGCGCAATTATAAGGTCAGAGAGCTAGTAAATTGTGGAACAAGGGCTACCTACGGGTATGTTAAAGCAACATATAACCCCTTTCCTCTCACCATAGGCTGTGTATTAGAATTTCCTGGAAACCTTTTAAATATACTGATTCACAAGCAGGTTTCTGGCCCTAATAACTCTGGGGGTAGAGCCTAGGATTCTACTTTTTTAGGCAGTCAGACTGGCACCAGATTCACTTCCTGGGAATCAGTGCTTGATCCATTTGTTGATTAAGTGAGAGAGGGTTTGTCTACACAACAGTGCTTCTCGGAGTGTAGTCCTTAGACCATCTGTATCAGAATTACCTAGATCTCTGTTAAAAGTACTGGCAGAAATTGTGCCAATGCACTTAATTTTTTTTTTTTTTTTTTTTGGTCAGAGAATTGCTTTAGGAACACTTGGTTATTTTTACTTTCGCATGCTTAGGAACAAATAGCTAGGACAGATGGTTACCATCTCCAAATGCATAAGTCATTGAGGAGTGGTGTTCCTACCTCGGTCGCGATGTAGCTGCTGAGATCACAACATTGTTACCTGGCCTGATTCCTGGCATCTGAGAGATCTGAGATTGAGAGTTGCCTACATGTTCAAGACTTTTTGGTCCTTTTCACCGTGCATTTGGGGAAGTTACTTTGTAGATGAGCCTTGTTTTCCTTAACAATCTGTAGTAAATAAAGAGGTGAGGAGACGGACATTGTGTGTTTTTTAAAAGTTGGTTCTAATTGCCTTCAAGCCAGTTTACTATTGTTGTGTTAGACTCTGGGGACTATCTCCTTGAAAGACACCAGCATAATTATCTGTTACTAACAGCAGAACAGACAGAAAGTCATATTTTCTCATCTATCTAAAAAGTAAATCATATAGGGTACAAGGGTATCTTCAAATTATTTTTAGTATCTGAGTTTATTAAACCTAATTAGTTCAAAAACCATGCAGGATTCCAGGACCATAGTCTGACACTCTATCGGTAGTCGCTAAATTATCTTTGTATTCCCTGCACCACCCAATACTTTCCATACACTCATCATTCAGTAACTGCATGTAGTAGATAAATAAATGAAATAAATAAATATAGTGACATGATCTTATATTCTTAAAAAAAGATGAAACTAATATAAATCATCATTACTATATTGTCATAAAAACAGACATAGAGTAGCTAACTAATTTTCTTGGCAGATATTAAGTGTTCTCACTGAGATCAGATAATGACAATAATAATAGTAGCTTACTTAATGATATGCTTTATACGCCATTACTCCTTTCATCCTTCTATCTCAGTGAGGTGGCTACTATTACTATCTCTATCTTACAGATGAGAAAATTGAAGCTTAGAGAAGTCACATAGCTTTTATGGGGAAGAACCTAATTTCCAATATAGGCAGTTTGATGCTGTTCTACATACTGTTCCGTACAGTGAAAAACAAGGCAAACCCAAATTCCTATTATAAACTAATTAAAGGAATACCTTGGATGACTAGACTTGAAAAAATAAGACTATGTCTACTCTTAGAGTATTTATCATGATGTTATGAATCTAAGTCATAATGCCTCTTAGTCTCTGTCTTCCCAAACAAGTGATCCAGACTTTTTAGTATCATAGGGATATATCAGTGAATATTCATTTGAAGGCATTCTGAACTAATACCCGGGAATTAGAACAAATAACAAATTGATATGAATTAAGTTAATCTGACTACTTAAGACATCAATTGTTTAGACTATTTTATCCTTAACAAAATTCTACATAATGTTGTTTCTACTTTTTTACAAAAATACAGGTTTTACACACACATACACACACATGCACACACACACACAAACTCTCCAACTGACTCCAAGTTTTAGCACCAAATCTTAGCACCAAGTCACTCCTTCAAAACTTTTAAAGAGCCTGGAATTTTTGAAAGTTCAGATTCATGGGGCAGAGAGATTTTGCATGTTGACACGAGTACACGAATTTGTGTGTGTGTGTGTGTGTGTGTGTGAAGAATGGGCTCTGTGGTGGCATTTACTGCATTCTTAATGTGCCTGTTTATTAGTTCATACCTTCACTTTCTGCAACCTTCTTAAAGGCTATCTGTGTTTTTTACCTTTGAATTTCTGGAACCTAGTAGAGGGCATCATAGCAAGTCATCAATAAATGGTTACTGAATGAATTACTGAAAGAAAGGCAGGATAGACTTGGACGAAGTTAAAGAGATTAGTTTTTGTCTGGACATTAACACATAGGAGAAAGAACCAGTGATATGTCCATATAAACTCTCACTTAACTCTGTGCTACTTGGCACTTGAAGAAGGCCATCTGCCTCCTTTAATTTGTGTCCCACAGACAGAGGAGACAGAGCACTAGCCCATAGCGACCTCAATGACATCAGAATACAGTTGTGAAAGGGACATGCTTCACCATGCAGCTCACTACTTATATTTTGTGGTATTTGGGCGCAGTTTTTAAGAACCAGTATAATTTAAACATGGTAGTGACTTGTCAGTTTATTGCTGTTTCAAACCATTGAAAAATACAAGGCTCCAATAACAAGGTGACAGAATTATCATATACTGTAATGGTGAAATTGCAGGTCACTCTGTGCTTTAGCAGCTTATGTAAATTAATCCAGGGGTTTTCTTTTTACAGAAATGAAAGGCAGATATTTTTGAAAAACTATCCCTTCTTCACTGCTTTTGGCAAATAATTGCATTATTATTCATTCTGAGAGGAGTAACTAGTTAATTATAGCATGTCACAAGTATTTTATGTGAGCCAAGGATTTGTAAGCCTGAGGACTGCATGGATGCCTTTAAGGGTCTGTGTGTGTGTGTTTTCTTTCCTCTTCTTCTTTTTCCCAACCTATCTCAGTCTTTTGACATTTTGACACTGCGATTACATAGATCTCTTTTCTTCTAGGCTACAGAGAAAAAGAACCAGCCCTACTTGAAAATAATAATTTTAGGGTTTGTATGTGGAAATACTACCCTCTGAAATCCTTCAAAGAAAGTTAACATTGACTGAAAACCTTAGTTCTCTGAATTGTAAGAAAGAAGAGAAGCATCCAATAATTTAAAAAGACCACTTGATGGAGTAAAGAACTGAAATTATAGGAAGTGAAAGGTGATGTCTACGATGGCCCACATGCATTTATAAGTATCTCATGAATATTTTGGGGGCTTTACATTACCTTAGTTCCCTGCCTCTCTCGAAATGGCTCCTCCGAAGGTGTTCAGCAATGAGTTACGGAAACCTTTCCCTTACATTTAGGAATGCCTCATTGTCCTCCAGAGTGTGAGGATGCAAAAGCTGCCAGGTAGCAAATTACTTATTCATGTGTCTGGTGGGTGGCTGCCCTCAAATTTCACTAGATTTTGTCTCATCTATTAAACATGTCTATCACTTGTTCCTTTCCCAAGGTCCTTGACTTGCCCATTCCAAATTTTGTCCATACAACATCCCTAATCAGTTTTAAAGTACCCAATTGTACTGCAGTGAGGATGGCTTTCTGGGTTGTTTTGAACCTTGACTGGTTTCTTTCCCTTGAGCCCGGCTGTCTCTGGGGCTATTATGCAGACCCTTTCTAGCCTGGCCAGACAATGAGGTCAGGGCCACTGTCTGTGCTCTCCATCAGGACTGT